CCCCCCAAAACCTCATGTGGTCATGGGGTGGGCTTCTGGAGTTTGTGATTGATTCATGATCGAATGCTGGGATTATAGATGTGAGTGGTACACCTACCCTGGGGCGGGCAACCTGCATACAATATAAGGGAGGGAAAGAGTCTCGCTCTCTCACCCTCCCTTTTTTCCTCTTGCTGCTTTTGCTATCTTCTGCCGCCTGCAACTGTTGCCCCTCAGCCACTCCACCCTCCCTTGGAGCAAGCTGATTACAGACTGAAATCTCCACATACTGTGAGCTACATAAACCTTTCCTTCCTTCATTTTGGGCGTCAGATATTTTGCCTCAGTAGTGAGAGGAAAGTAACCAACACAGTTTTGTTTTATGTATATACCACGTTTTGTTCATTCGTCTGTGGACACTTGAGTTGCTTTCACTTTTTGACTTTTGTGAATAATGCTGCTATGAATTTGGATGTACATGTATCTCTTTGAGACTATGCTCTCAATTCTTTTGAGTCTATATACAGGAGTGCAATTAATGGATCATATTATAATTCTATTTTCAATTTTTTCAGGAACTACCATACTGTTTTCCATAGTGGCTGCACCATTTACCTTCTCACCAAAATAAACAAAAATTTATTATTTTGTGCTACTGGAGACTGAACCCAGGGCCTTTGTGCCGAGCTGCATCCTCAGGCCTGTTTTATTTTATAGTTTGAGATAGAGTCTTGCTAAGCCACTAAGTTGCCCAGGCCGGACTCAAACTTGCAGTCTTCCTGCTCAGCCTCCCAGAGTGCTGGGATTACAGGTGTATGCCAACACCTCTGACATTCATTCATTCATTCATTCATTCATTCAGTAATGGATCCTTCACACCGGGCTACTTTTTATAATTTTGAGACAGGGTCCTGCTAAATCCCTAGGTTGCCCGTCCAGTACCAAGAACAACACCAAGCCTGCTGGAATCATTCCAATATCTGACTGGAAGAATCATGGTGTATTGAACAGTATTTGTACACAAAGAACAAAAAGTAATTTTATAACCTTAATGGAACAATGTTGATAATTTTAAGGATGTGATCTATAACCTTAGTTCAAACCCTAATCTAATATGCATAATTCAAATTTATTTATTTACTTATTTAGTTTTTTTTCCCAGTATGGAGAATCGAACTCACGACGTTGTGCTTGCCAGTCAGGCGCTGTGCCGCTGAGCTAAATCCCCAGCCCTGAAGAAGCAACTTTTAAAAAATATTTTATATTAAAGAGAATGTCCTATCATCTTGTTTTGATATTCTGTATCATTTTATTGTTTTTTTATTCTCTTTAAAAAAAAGAGAAAGAAAGTAAAACAAAATTTCAAAACAAGATAATAGGAGAATAACAATGGTAATACATTGTGTATTGTTATCTATAAATTCATTATTCAGAGTGCAAGATATACATGCATTTAACTGTCCAAACAATATTAGCACAACCTTTCTTCTCAGTGAACAAAGAGAAAGTAGTACAATGATCTTAATCGTCATATTCATATATATATATATATATACATATATATATATATATAAAATGTACTTTTTCCTTCCTTCTTTTCTCCTTTCTCCCATCCTAGTCCTAGTTTCTCTTTCCTTTGGAATTTTTTTTTTCCCCTCATTTTACAATATCCATTGTACATTTTGGACCTTATTTACTCTTTCAGCTAAGAAGAAGCAACTTTATTTATTTATTATTTTTTTGGTGCTGGGAATCAAACTCAGGACCCTGCACTTGCCAGGCAGGCCCTTGTGCCACTGAGCTAGATCCCTGGCCCCCCAGAAGCAACTTTCTAGCTTATGATTTTACTTGATTTCTTGGTAGTTTGAGACCTAAGCTACATCAGCGGGGTGAGGCTGACTGCTGCTGAATTCTTACTGAGTGCCCAGTCCCCGTGTGCTTTTCTGGCGGCGCTGAGGGTTGATGCTGGGGCTCTGAGCACACTAAGTAAGCCTGCTGCTACTGAGCTACATCCACAGACTCACACAAAGTACTTTTTATTTATTTTTATTTTTTTTTGGTTTTTCTCCGGTACCGGGAACCGAACTCACGACCTTGCACTTGCCAGGCAGGCGCTTTTGCCGCTGAGCTAAATCCCCAGCCCCACAAAGTACTTTTTAAACAAATGTTTGCTTCAGAAGTATTCCATTTTAACCTATATTTTAATATATCTACAGATCAGTTTAATATTATTTTATTAATTATTAAGGAGATAGTTACAATAGAAGTTGTGTTACTGATATAAGGGAAATGCTAGATGTCAAATACACGAAGTTTGTGTTCCCCACAGTCTAAGAATGAATTCTGAGAAACAGTGGAGGTTGCAGGGCCAGGGATATAGCTCAGCGGCACAAGCAGCTGCCTTGCAAATGCAAGGTCCTGAGTTCAATTCCTGATTTAAAAAAAAAAAGAAAAATTTCAGTTTGCCGGGTGTAGTAGTGAATGCCTATAATCCCAGCACTTGGGAGGCTGAGGCACGAGGATCGTTGAGAGTTTGAGGCCAACCTGGGCTACAAAGTGAGTTCAACACCAGCCTGAACTGCATAGTGAGACTCTGTTTGACAAAGTAAAAAAACAAACAAACAAACAAATGCTGGGCGTGGTGGCACATGCCTGTTATCCCAGCACTTGGGAGGCTGAGGCAAGAGGTTCTTTGTGAGTTTGAGACCAGCTTGGGCTACAAAGTGAGCTCAAGGCCAGCCTGAACTGCGTAGTGAGACCCTGTCTCAAAAAAAGACAAAAACAAAGAAAAAAAAAAACAAAAAAAACCCCAAAACAAAACAAAAAAAACCCCCAAAAACCCACCCCAAAACAATGGAGCTTGAGTAGGGAAATTTATTGGAGGATAGGAATGGGGAATAGGAATAGCTTGCCCACATCTGAAAGGAAGTTTTATAGAGCAAAATCATGAGGTGGGTACAACGGAGGTCAAAATTATGGTCAACAAATAAGATTCCAAGAATAGTCGCTTAGGTAATATTGATCCAGTGGTAGCAAGGGTACATGAGTGACACCATTAGCTTTAGTGGATAATCTATAGTCTTGGCCTGGCCTTTAATCTGAGCATTCTTAGTCCTATTCCTAGTCTCTGTAGGTGGGAAAGGATGGCCTGTCACTAACGAGATAATGGGAAATTTCTAAAGCGTGATACCACTAATCCCAAACCTTTTTTTATGCCTTAGGGAAGTACATAAAGCTAGGCACTGTGGCTGTAATCTTCAGATGCACCTCCGGCCGCAGTCTTGGGTTCTCACCTTTTGCACTGACTCTCTTGAGGGCCCAGGCCTGTCTGACTGCCTACTATATTTCTAACTAACTCAGCCATCTACAATATTACCACTCAGAAAAGAGGAATTAATTGTATCATAGACTTTGGAAATTATCTTGGCTCACAAATTATAGACTTAAACTCATTAGGTTTTTTTGGGGGGCGGCAAGGGAGTACTGGGGATAGAATCCAGGATCTTTGCACTGAGCTGCATCTCTACCCCCCATCCCTTTTTTTTTAGATGGGTTTTGCTAAGTCACTAAGTTTCCCAGGTTGGGCTCAAACTTCTAATCCTCCTGCCTCAGCCTCCCAGAATGCTGGGGTTATAGGCATGTGCCACCATGTCCAGCTGTAAACTTGTTTATATAATTCATTATTCAACTATTTTGTTACAGAATCTGAAAGATTAAAATATTTTATAAGTGATGCTATAGTTTAGCAAGTTGATACTTGGTGCATTGTCTGTTTTCTCAACAGAATACTCTGGAATTGTGTGGGTCGACTTCATCTAAGGGACAGCAGTTGGTTTTCTGACTGCTTGATAAATTAAGTGAACTTGTGAGTCCTTTAGGGATGACATTTACATGACCCAGTTTGAAAATCTGCTATGAATGAGAGATAGCTTTATAGACAGCCTGCCTTCGTTATGTGGATGCAGCGGTTACCTAGTTTAAAAACTGGAGAAAAAGGCAGAAGCAGAACAGAACAAGAGGGTGGTGCTAAGGGGTGAGAATCTGAGCTATTGCATGATATTTGCCCGCATTGATGAGGCTGCGGCCAGTTCGATGAAAGCTCATCAGTCTCACAAATATAAATCAATATGAGATACTAATTTGGTGCCCTGATCAATTTCCCTAATTTCTTTCCATGGGAAATTTCATATTGAGCCTTGCTTTTTGGCATGCAGGAATTTATTGCTGAGTCATCTGAGAAAATTTTATGGCATCCTTTCTTTTGGATTGTTCAATTTGGTTTGGGTTGTGGAAGCACCAGTTTAAGGAAAGATTTATTTCTTTAGTGGGCAAGAAAGAGTAAGCATATTGTTCCCTCTTCACACACCCATGGTGACCTCAGGAAGTTCCCAAAGTCAGGCCTGTTCAGGGCATCTGCACTTCCTTGCCCGGCACTAGCTCCTAGGGTATATATCCGACTGGAACAGAATTTAAGAACATTCCTCCATCAAGAAAACCTCATTTATCTCATGAGAGCTTGGCCAAGGACAGCCTGGAGCCTGAAAAGCCCACTGGATGCTTTTACTGTGCCAGACCCTCTGGTTGTTTGAGTGGGCCATCTTCTGATGTCCCCTGGGTGGCTTTCATCTCATCTTATACTCTTGTAGCAGCAGAAAGCTGTTTATCTGAAGAGGATAATAAGGAATGGCTAGGAAGTTGTATTTTACCTTAGACTGTGTTGATCTTACTGTATGGATACGATGTGACAACTTAAAAATGAAGAAGAAGAAGAAGGAGAAAAAGGAAGAGGAGGAGGAGGAAGAGGAGCAGGAGGAGAAGAAGGAGAAGAAGAAAAAGAAGAAGAAGAAGAAGAAGAAG